TTAAATGTCATAAAATCTAAATTTTTATTTTCATAGAGAACACAATTTAATGTTTCTTGCTATTTTTTTGTTATGCTTTACGAATACCTGTATTTGACAGGTAACTCTCATTACAGTTCACGTAAAGAGGTTTAACATTGCATTCACTTGTAGGCATGCCCAAGAGAATAGTGAATGCAAAGATTGCTTGCCTTGACTTCAGCCTGCAGAAAACAAAAATGAAGCTTGGCGTACAGGTGGTTATTACAGACCCTGAAAAACTGGACCAGATTCGACAGAGGTACGTTCAGAGAGTTTTTTTGACCTTTGATACAGATACCAGGTTTTTTGACCTTACAGAGAGGTATCTGTAAATTATATTTTCGTTAGAGCAGGAGACCAGTATAAAAGGACCCTAAAGAGTGGTAACGCCTCCTAGACAATAGCAAGTAATCAATCAGTTGCCAGGTAGCAGAGGATGGTGATCTGGTAGCTGGATTTTTTTAAATTGTGGGTGTCTTGGAGGACTAGAAAAGTTATGATTTAAAAAAATTAGTGTTTATTTTTGAGAAAGGGAGGGGCAGAGGGAGACACAGAATCCAGAGCGAGCTCCAGGCTCTGAGCTGTCAGCATAGAGACCTACATGGGGGCTCGAACTCCATGAACTGTGAGACCATGACCTGAGCCAGAGCTGGACACTCAACTGAGTGAGCTACCCAGGTGCCCCCAAAAATTGGGTTTTGTTTTTTTTTTTTAAGTAATTTACTTTTTATTTTTTTTTAATAATTTATTTCTGAGAGAGAGAGAGATAGCGTGAGCATGAGAGGGTCAGAGAGAGAGGGAGACACAGAAACCAAAGCAGGCTCCAGGCTAGCTGTCAGCACAGAACCCGACGCAGGGCTCGAACCCACAAACCGTGAAATCATGACCTGAGCCGAAGTCAGATGCTTAACCGACTGAGCCACCCAGGCGCCCCATGACCTAGTGTTTTAAGGTATTCTCAGGGTGATATAATTTCTATGAAACTTTGTAGAATTTCGGTTTTGAGTGATTAATGTTACAGATATACGCAGGAATGTACTTCCTCAAGTATAGCATGCGCCGCCACGCCCCGGAGCTAGGCTTAGACTGCTACCCTGGATTTTGACTACCTCCTTCCACTGGACCCATATCATTCATATATTTTTTAGTTGGTTTGTTAAAAAGGAAAAAACAGTAACTGAACCAAACTTAATAAAAGTTTTTGTCAAGTGAGGCCTTTTTGCCTTTTAGATCTGCATGTGTATTTTTTTTTCTTCCCAATAAACAAAGTGTCCTTTCTTCCACTGGAGGCCAGTCAGTCCCTCTAGAATAACGGTTCTCAAACTGCATTTTCAGTTACTAATTCCAGTTCTCGTGTCTTTCCTAGATTCCCCTTGCAGTCACCTGTGGCTCTATTCCCTGTAAATAAAAGGTCACGTGTCCTGCCCCAATGACTCTTTGTCCTTCCCTCATCTCTTCACAGCTGAATGTCCCAAGTTTTTTATACAAAAACTATTTTCTGGTACTTTATTTCTTATCTCCTTTTTTTCTTTTTAAAGTTTATTTTGAGGGAGAGTGTGCTAACGGGGGAAAGTAGAATCTGCTGGCAGCACAGAGCCCAAGTTGGGGCTCGATCTCCGGAACTGTGAGATCATGAGCTGAAATTCAGAGTTGGATGCTTAACCAGCTGAGCCCCCCAGGCACCCCTTTTCAGGTGTGTTCTCCAGTGGAGGACCATTTACTAAGGTCACTTGTCGTCCCTAGGGTAAATCTCAGGAGACACTTTGAACTCACTTGACACTAGAGGTGGGAGGCAGCTTTGTGACACTGCCCATCCTGTACTTGTGTGCTTGGGGCAGCCCCAGGGCCTGCTCTCTCCATGGGTAACTCCTTGTCGTCTCTGTGACTTAGGATATTCTTTCTATGTTGGAGACTTCCAGATATGCTTCCCTGAGCTCCAGCCTCCTGTGAATGCTTTTTACACATCTCAAAGTCCGTATGTTCAAAACTGAACTTTGGGTGATACCTGTAAATCTGCATTTTAGTGATAGGGACCCCTCAGACAGGAAACTAGGAAATAGGTTAACTCTTTTTACCTAAGGCCTTACTCCCTTCTGACCTATCACCGAGGCCACTTGATTTCTGTCTTCAAATCACATCTCACATTCACCTCTTTTTTGTCTTGCCCCGTTGAGGGGCAGAGAAGCTGCTCATCTGGGTTTCTCTCTTGTCCCCTCCCAGGCTATTTTCCATACAGCAGCCGCAGTGATTCTCCTCCCTTACAAGGCCAGAGCCTTCTGTGGGCTTCCTTCCCAGAGCAGCTTTTCTCTTCCTCTGTGTTGCGCTCTGATGGGAATCCCTGTGCTCACTCTTCCTGGGCCAGAGCGCAGTTTTGGCACGTTTGTAGGACTCTGACTAGAAGCCCTACATACAGGCAGAGCCTGAAGGGTGTGCTCAGCCGTGCAGCCCCTGCCTGCCCAGCGGCGTCTGGCCCAGAGCACTTGTCACGGTTTATGAAGAGCTTTACTTTGAGGTTCATCTTTTGTTTTATTTTTTAAAATTCTTTGATGAGTGAAATAGTTATAATGTAATCTGTAATGTTGATTTTTTAGAATCTGTGTCCCTTCCCCATAGCGTGCTTGTGATTTGCGTCTGTGTCTGCCCACCCCGTGGCAGCTTTGCGTGAATAATGCAGGGGCTTCAAACGCATCATTTGAAAATGAAACTCTGCTTTCTTGTCTTGCGCCCAGCCTGTTAGTTTTTGTTTTAATCCAGGAGTCCCTGGCCGAACCTCCGCATCACCAAGCTATAAACTGGGACTTCTCTGTTCAGACCATCTGTTTACATCAGATCTATTGCTGTATCTCCAGTTACTGCTTCCTTGCCTCATTCCTCCATCTTTCCAGTGCAGGGCCCACATTGACCTCGGGGGATCCTTTTGAAAACACGGATAATACTGTTATTTGAAAATATTAAAATTCTTAGAGTCCCTACCTGGCTCAGTCAGTAGAGCATGTGACTCTTGATCTCAGGGCTGAGTTTAAAGCCAACTTTGTGTGTGGAATTTACTTAGAAATTGGGGTGCTTGGGTAGCATAGTCAGTTTAGCATCCAAACACTTGATTTCAGCTCAGGTCGTGATCCCAGGGTCATGGGATGGAGCCGTGTTGGGCGCCACACTGAGTGTGGAGCCTGCTTAAGATTCTTTCCCTCTGCCTCTCTCCCCCATTGGTTCATACTCCCTAAAATAAATTCATTATTAAAAATAAAATAAAAATATGGGGCGCCTGGGTGGCTTAGTCGGTTAAGCGGCCGACTTTCGCTTAGGTCATGATCTCGTGGTTCGTGGGTTCGGGCCCCGCATCGGGCTCTGTGCTGACTGTCCGCTCAGAGCCTGGAGCCTATTTCAGAGTCTGTGTCTCCCTCTCTCTCTGACCCTCCCCTGCTCAAGCTGTCTCTCTCTCTCTCTCCTAGAAATAAATAAAAATATTTAAAAAAAATTTTTTTTTAAATAAAATAAAAATATTAAATTTAACAGCCTGACTTTTAAACAGCCTGACTCTTTAGCATCTAGCTCTACAAAAGGTTTTTGATTTTCTGTTCTTACTAGTCTCTCTCTTTTTTTTTTTTTTTAATAAATTTTTTTTTAGGTTTCTTCATTTTTGAGAGAGAGCACACTAGTCTAGTGGGACAGGGTCAGAGAGAGAGGGAGACACAGAATCTGAGCTGTCAGCACAGAGCCCAGTGCGGGGCTCAAACCTATGAACCATGAGATCGTAGCATGAGCTGAAGTTAGACACACAACCAACCATGCCACCCAGGTGCCCCTACTCTTGTTCCTACTAGTCATTTTTCTGGACTCTTCCTCTCAACTCCAGACCCTCATGCTTTCCTTGCCTCACCTGACAGGCTGCACTTTGCTCTCCTCATCTGTGCGTTCCATTGTAGTTAACAGTTTTCCAGAACAAGGTTGACTGTGTTTCCTGCTAGATCCTAAAAGGCAGGGATGCTGTTCATTTCTGACCATGATTCTTGGTTAGGAACTCACATTGGGAGGGGGGAATAACTAAGTGGTAATTTTTAATTTCTTGTTGGACTTTTCTGTAGATTGATTTAAATTTTGGTCACAGAAGGGAAAGAATGCTGTAATTTAATCTGCAGTTATTTTACATAAAGCGCTTAACGGAAATAGAAGTAGATTAACCACACAGAAGGTAACTTCAGGTTCTTCTCCAAACACTTCATCTCTGTAGAGAATCTGATATCACCAAGGAGCGGATCCAGAAGATCCTGGCCACTGGCGCCAACGTCATCCTAACGACCGGCGGAATCGACGACATGTGTCTGAAGTATTTTGTGGAGGCAGGCGCTATGGCTGTTAGAAGAGTTTTAAGACGAGACGTGAAGCGCATCGCTAAAGCTTCCGGGGGTGAGTCCTCCGCCGGCTCCAGGCTAGGGGGGTCACATCCCCATATAGGAGACTGTCTCTCTTTATGTATGAATGTCCTCACTAAGCAGTTTCAAAAACAACAGGGTTTTTTTTTTTTTACTTCTTACTCCTTTAATGCCTTAGGCTACAAATACGTATCCCAGAGCCATTTTTCATCTTACTAGAAAAGCTCTTGAACTTCCTGAATTTCTTGACCTCAGAAGGCTATCCGTGCGTGGTTCCGTGTTAGAATAAAAGGACAGCGGTTTGTCTGATGCTTGTCTGTCTATGCATCGCTCTTATCATAAATGTTTCCAAATTTGGGATAGCGTATGAAAGTATTCATGGGAAAATAATGTTTACAGATCTTTGTCATTGTCTTCATAGCAACTGTCTTGTCAACCCTGGCCAATTTGGAAGGAGAAGAAACTTTCGAAGCTTCGATGTTGGGACAAGCAGAAGAGGTGGTACAAGAGAGAATTTGTGATGATGAACTGATCTTGATCAAAAAGTAAGAGCTGCTTTCTAAGTTACGAAGCTGTACAGGTTTTATTAGTGAGTGAGTGGATCACCTTCCCATTGATTTGCTGCTCTGGTCTTCCAGTGACAGGAGCAGTTATACGCATGGGAGAGAACAATTTAGGCCGTTGTCAATTGAGATGGAGTAACCATTTCATCTCTTCTGCGCGGTCCAGACATTGCTTCCGTGTCTAGATGAACCACCTGAGCAGGATTTCCAATCGAGGTGCTTACAGTGGATTTTTATGTAAGCTTACCTTCTAAAAGAATTTCACTTTTTTTTTTTAAACAGTACTAAGGCTCGTACGTCTGCGTCAATTATCTTACGTGGGGCAAATGATTTCATGTGTGATGAGATGGAGCGCTCTTTACATGATGCTCTTTGTGTGGTGAAGAGAGTTTTGGAGTCCAAATCTGTGGTTCCTGGCGGAGGTGCCGTGGAGGCAGCCCTTTCCATATACCTTGAGAACTACGCAACCAGCATGGTAAGAACATCTGGAAGCCTGCTTTCTTTTCAAGAAGGGCATGGGTCACCATCTTTGGCATTTTGTTACTCTGCCTTCCCTGGTGGGGTGCCTGGGTGGCTCAGTCCATTGAGCACCTGATTCTAGATTTGAGCTCAGGTCATGGTCTCCCCATTTGTGGGAACGAGCTCTGCCTCAGGCTCTGCACAGACAGCCCGAAGCCTGCATGGAATCCTCTCGCCTGCTCTGCCCCTCCCCTGGTAGCGCGTGCTTTCTCCCAAACCTCCAAAACCATACACATACTCTTCTGAGATCCCTGCTGCTGCTGTGGGTTTTAAGACCCTTCACTGTCTGTCTCTTCAGGGGTCTCGGGAACAGCTTGCTATCGCAGAGTTCGCAAGGTCTCTCCTTGTTATTCCTAACACGCTGGCCGTCAACGCTGCCCAAGACTCCACGGATCTGGTTGCCAAGTTAAGAGCTTTCCACAATGAGGCCCAGGTTAACCCAGAACGCAAAAATCTAAAATGGTGAGCATACCGTTTCCCTTGTTCGTTGTCCTCTGTCTCCTGTGTGGTACTTTAGCTTTGTTTGCAGTCGATGAAAGAGGAGAACTAGTGATCAGCACTGGTGTACTTTAATCAGCAACTCCGCCTCCCAGCCTCTCACTGGGTCTGTCAGCAGTCGCTACACCTACACATCAGTCCCACAGAGGCTGAGGGGGGTGATTTTGGGGTCATCCATATTTCATAAGCAGTAGCTGTTTGACATACTAAGTGATGCTTAGAACACAGTATCTAAGCTTTTCTAGAACTCCGTACTTACTTTGTTACTTAAAATTAACTACTGGAGTCTTAGGGATCTATCATAAGGTCCCAGCATTGCCCACGAGTAACACGTGAATGGGGAAGCTGGATTTAAAGACACGGGGAGGGATCAGTGTGCATTATGTAAGAGATCAGTTAATAGTGGGTTGTTTGTTTTTTTTTAAATCACAGGATTGGTCTTGATTTGGTCAATGGTAAGCCTCGAGACAACAAGCAAGCAGGAGTGTTTGAACCAACCATAGTGAAAGTTAAGAGTTTGAAATTTGCAACAGAAGCTGCAATTACCATTCTTCGAATTGATGATCTTATCAAATTACACCCAGAAAGCAAAGATGATAAGCATGGAGGTTATGAAGATGCCGTTCACTCGGGAGCCCTTGATGACTGATTTCTTTTATTTATAACAATGTTAGATGCAATCATCTTGTACCTCGAGTGTTACACATTAATAAAAATGAGCTGTGGAGCCTGGGGTTCTTAGAGAGTGAGAGGGGCTTCCATCCTCATGTTGGTCCTCTGGTTTCACGTATTCTAACTTAGTACCTTATTAGCTTAAGACGAGATGAGGTTTCAGCTTAGTTTCCGCATGATTAATTAAAACAACTTCATCCCCTCTGAACACACATTGCTATTCCCATCCCACCGCCGATGCACAGGGCGGCCACACCGCGCTGTCCGCCCTTCCGCTCCAGTGTGTGTAACAGCGTAACAAGAATCCGACAGCCAGACGCTCCAAGAGGGTGGCCCAAGGCTATTGCCCCTCCTTGAATGTTGACCTAAGGGGGGAAAAATATACCATTATTCTGTGTTCACGAGGTAAAAAAATTTTTTTTTAATGTGAAGTGGGGAGGGGCCAAGAGGGAGAATTCCAAGCAGCCTGGGTGTGGAGCCTGACCTGGGGCTTGATCCCACAATGGTGAATCCATGACCTGAGCTAAAATCGAGGCTGACACTTAACCTACTGAAACCACCCAGGCGCCCCATGGGTGAAAATCTTAAATTTATCTTTGCCCTTTTAACGTTACACCAGTAAACTATCCTTTCAAATTCCACTTTCATTTTAACTGTTCAGGAACTGACTTACACCCCTGTGACATCCACCCTGACTACCTTGCTAGTTTAGAAGAGTCAAAATGCTCTGTTTTAGGAGTAAATAAAGAGTCCAGGGTTTTGCCTTGGGAAGCAACAGAGTAACTCCCCAGCCCTAGCAGGAGCTTACCCAGCATGCACCCCATTAACTGTGGCCAATACTAGAGATACTACGGAACTAATCATGTCAGTTTTGCTGTCTATAATCAAAATTGCTTTGTGTTCACTTGCAAGCTGTCCTCAGGGCTGCTTGCTCGGGTTTACCTTCTCTGGGTTTAATCCGAGTTCTTTAGTTATTGCAACAGACAGGGCTGCAAAGGCTTCGTTGATTTCAAATACGTCCACATCCTCCAGTGACCAACCTGCTTTTGCAACCTAAAGGAAAGGTCAAGGGAACAGAGGTCTAAGAACTCAGGTGGAATCTTTCTTCACTGTAGATAAATAATAGACGGACACTGAAGGATCTTTTCTGGGTGGTTCCCCCACCCCCACTCCGAGCCCAGTGATCCCACATTTTTGCCTGTGTGATACCAGTTCTAAAACATGAAGGATAAAACCTCCCTTGAAGATTCTGAAGTTAAGTTCTAAAGCAGTAAAATGTTACATATAGGGGGGATGATCTAGGGGAGTATCAGTTCCCCCTAAGAGGCATATGACCCCCATGTCCTTGGCTGCTCTTTGTAGTGGGGAGGGAGACAAGATACCGCTGCAGGAAGGAGCTCATGTACGGCTAGTGGAATTTCATAGAAGGGAAGCAAAGCAAATGAGATTTGGTAAGAATAAAAAGGAAAACAAAATCAGGCTCCGTCGATGGCATTTTGGAGTGGAGAGGATCTGAGCCAAGGATTACAAAAGGCAGAATGTAATAGGGAATTACAGAGTTAGTCTGGTCCCAAAGAGGTCCATTCTACCAACGAAGCAAAGAACAGGTGCTAACGCTCAGAAGTAGACTCACAGCTTGCTTTATTGCCGGAATTGGTCCTGTCCCCATAATGGAAGGCTCCACACCTACTTGTGACCAGGAAACTATCTGTGCTAAAGGTGTAAGCCCTCGATTATTGGCCTCTGACTTCGTCATAAGAACCACAGCTGCAGCACCATCATTTATTCCTGTAAAATACAAACATCTGGATTTTTGAAAGGCTCACTGAGTTATAGACCTGTGTCTACTTTCTCTGACACCTAAAGACGTGATAAAATTATTCTTAATACATCTTGGCAAAGTCATTTGCTGTAATTCCTATCTTACAGTGTAATTGGAAATGGTAAGTTTGGTACTATGACATATTGACCGCAGAACATTCTAACCAAGGAAAATGGAAAGATTAAAGGGCTGGGACGGGAGGGTAAGAAAAAAAATGGAAGAAATAGTCTTCATTTTGCAGGAGGTACTGGGACTTCCTGGTTTTGGAAAAGCATGGAAGTAGTAGACAAATTCTGGGGTTCCCTAATTTGCTTTTTCACCTATGTCGAGTGAGGATGTCAAGAAGTCAAATCCATTCTTTCATATATACGTTAAGCCCAAAATGTAAACACTAAGGAATGATCAAATACAGAGAAACCACATTTTCCCTTAAAGCAATGAAAGGTTTCAGGATAATTTGTATATAAAAAATAATTGAATGAAGAAGGTGGGACCTAGAGAAGACGGCTTTCCTGCAGCTGCCCTTTGGCAAATCGAACCTGAAGCATTAGCCGGGGTGACTGTTCCTGTTCCATCCTTGAGGAAGTAAGGCTTCAACTTAGATACAGCTTCAATGTTGGTCCCATGGCGAGGAAACTCATCTGTTTTCACTTCTGCAAGATCTGAACGAGGAAAAGCAATTACCAACATTAATAGCAGAGATGGCAGTCGGTGTTGGAGTCCTCAGACATGATGCCTGAAGACTTGTACTTGGAAGGAAGGTTTATCAAAAATACTTTTATTCCAAAAGGAAAATACACACTAATAAAATCCGTATGTTTTATAAGCACTGTCCTCATGAGACAGTTGGAGTGTTTTCCACATGCACAGCCCTTTCTGAGGAAGACCGCTCCGTGGGCGAAAGGTTGCTAACCTGTGGGGGGTAGGACTTGGTCAGTTACAACCAACTGGACCCGGGAGCATCAAAGTCAGTCTCATAAAGCCTGGACAGAAGTGATGTCAGTTATAGGGAACGGAATGGTTACCAGTAATAGCTGCTTGACTGGAGCGCTCCACGTTAGATAAAAGCCAAATGACCCAAGAAGATCAACCCTCACGACATACACAATGTATACAGAAAGCTACAGGAAATAGCGAATGTTCACTTTGGAGAAGTAGCCTGTAGGGGCTAATGGTCAGCTGTTGCCTCCTAATAACCATGAGCCAATGCTCCAGTTTCTCACATGGAACCCGCGATATCCACAGAACAGTGTGCACACACTGGGACCAAGAATGTCCAGTGCTGACACAGCTTCCCATGTCCTTAACCCTTCCATATCCCATAAACATGCCCCCCACCCCGCCATTTTAAGATGTAACCAAGATCAATCTTTTTTTTGCAACCTGAAAGACATAACTAAGACCCAATTTATAAACCTTCCTTTTTTATTTTTATTCATTTTTTTAATGTTTTTTATTTATTTCTGAGAGAGTGTGAGCAGGAGAGGGTCAGAGAGAGACACAGAATACAAAACAGTCTCCAGGATCTGAGCTAGCTGTCAGCACAGAGCCCAACGCAGGGCTTGAACCCACAAACCATGAGATCATGACCTGAGCTGAAGTCGGACGCTTAACCGACGGAACCACCCAGGTGCCCCATAAACATTCCTAAAGATTGTTTT